ATGTATTTGTAGCAGCGGCCGTTGAAGCTGTACCAGAACATGGGACAGTTGCCGCGCTGTAGCTTCACTGGATGGACATCTGATGGAGACACAGCACCCAGAGTGAGAACAAACAAGCAGAGGAACAACAACAACATGTTGGTGTCAGAGTCTCAGTCTAAGTCTTCAGAGTATCTGATCTGCAATGCTGGATGTTATCAGGAAATTGCTTAAACAATTCAAAAGCCACTTTCTTTTATATGCTTCAGAAAGCGTGTTGTGTCCAGGGAGTGGCTTGGGATGGCACAGGTTACACTACTGAAATCTGATTGGCTATCTTCCCTATCAGAGGTGGGACCTAAATGTGGAATAACTGTTGTGTAATTTAGTCTCAAACCTGAGAGGCAGCTGTGCATGGAATAACATTAAGCCTCCCAAAAATGTTAAAACGTTAAAAACATTTTTGCTGTAGGAAGCTAAAAAGTTACCACAGTTTTGATTTTCCTCAAAAGGCCACAAAACATAATAACTTTTATTCTCAAGGATGCACTTCCACATTGTTGAACCTCTGAACATTGGACATGAATTTCTGTCACCTCAAACATACATAATTAAACAATATATTACAATTAGGGATGTCCTGATCAAGATTTTTTAGCCCCTGATTCGATCCAAGTTGTTTAATATTGAGTATCTGCCAATAGAGTCCCAGTCCAAGACTTGTTTTTGAGTTCTTTAGATAATACAGGCACACAGTGCACGCTTCAGCTGTATTAAAGTTATTTAAAAACAATCCAGTGTATATGCTTGATGACTGAATAGCTTTGCATTGCATTAAGAAAAAAATGTTGCATCAAAGCTGTTCCTTAATTTTAATATGTAAAAAGTATCAAATAATAACAAACCCTCTCTGTAATCTGTTTGGCCTTGTCACAGTCTGGAGGGAGTTTCTCTCTTTTCCATAGTCAGAGGAAAACAACTTATTTATCTGTTTGGTCGTCAGTGCCAGCAAGAGGCTAGTTTTTAGTTTTTAAGTCAGCTCACGGCACACATCTTTCATAAACCTGCTTATCAGAGAATGCTGACCAATCGGCACATTTCCAAAACCCACATGGCAGGCTGACATTGCAGCCTAATAAACTTTAATGGTGGAAAAAGCTTTACCATTGTCCAGTAAATGCTGCAGGAAGCATAACACACCTGGAACAGAACTTTGACAACGCCCTCAGGCTTTGAATAATCTCAATCACCCTCAACGGGAGACTTGACTCTTTTAAATTCACCCTTTAATGTGCCATAGATCCTGAAGAGCACTGGCCAGATTTTTATTCAGGGAAATGTTTTCATATATTGAAAGCGAGGCTGGGTGTTCCTATGAATATAGGCTACAGTGAGTTTTTTAAGGTGCTGTACAAGCAAATCATATTGTCTACTCTGTACAGTGACAAAGAGTGTACAGTAACCTACTTAATTCAATATTGAATAGGCTACTGTAGCCTACACTATAAACAAATGGTTTTGCTCTTTGCTCATGGCAGTTGTGACAGTCATTTTAACATGTCAGCAGGCAAGCTTCACTCATTCCAGGATGTATGATGCTTTGTCCTATAGCCTACTTGGAACATGTTTTGAAATGGATCTATAGTAGCCTATAGAAATTTGCTCATAACAGGCCGGCTGGAATACAAAGCTAACTCTCTCTCAAATGCACATTCATGGAAGTCTTGTATTGTCATCCCAGGACAAAAACACAAATAATGCTGTAATGTAATAATATACATCTTTAAATGCACAATAATGAGTCATTCAGAGACTTATTAAATGTTTTTATTATTTAATTACACAGAAACCACATGGCTAAGTACAGCAATGTGAGAGTTTCATACATGTTGGTTGGATCACTCTTCAGGAGGTGTCCTTACTCTACCAGTAGAGAATGCTTTCCTGAAATTAGTGAGTAAGTAGAGTATACTTTCCCTGGAAGTACAGACTAAAAAAGGGTTAGGGGAAAGTCCTAGAGGAAACACTGCATATATTTTGGAGAGGGGGGTCGAGTATGTGTCGTGTAAGTGTAAACAGTGAGTAACTTTTATCTGAGGAGCACACGTCATAATTGTGAAGGGTTTTTCAGTTGAGCTTCACTGACTGCACAGTGTGCAAATTTGTTTCATTTTTATTTTATTTGGCATGGACACAGTATTTTTTGTACCAGATCATGGCTAGAGAAGCTTAGTTATTTTCATATGTAGTTCCCGGGTGAATAACACTTTATAATGAGTACACACTATAAAGCATTAGTTAAGCATGAATAAATACTGAATTCATCATTTATAACGCATGAATACACATTAGTATGTAGTTTATAAACACAGTTAAAAATGTTTTATTCATCATTGATAAGCACATTAGTTATGGATTAGTAAATACTGAATTCATAATTTATAAAGCCTGATTCTGCTGTAAATAGCCATTACTATGTGGTTTATAATCACAGTTATAAATGTCTTACTCTTCATTGTACTGTACATTTCTGCATGCACTTGCACATCTACTATTCAGAGATGTATTAATGATTAGTGACTGTTAGCAGATGTTCTATAAAACTCACAACAAATTCATTTTCTAATGATGGCCTATAAACAGTTATTAATGCAGGAATTCACAGTTACAAAGCACTTACTACTCGTAAATTAAGTATTTTGCACGAGCTCATCTAAAGTGAGCACTATCTATGGCTTATTAAGCATTTACAAATGAGATATAAAGGCTGACAATGCCTCGAGACTCACAAAATGTTCAGTTATCTTAACAGACAAAGGAGAGACACAACACAAAGGGATATAGAACATATTGTATTGATATTTACTGCAACTTCCCAACATATTGTATGAAGACGAACAAGGGTGGTTTATGAACACATGCTATTGTTGTGATCTTATCTGTTTGGGACGTGTACGTTGAGCTTGCAATCCCGCTCTCAGCACGTCATCAACGTGATGACGGTGGGAGGTGGGATGTTACGTCATATTTATGTTAACTCTCAGAAGTTTCTGACAGTGCAGCCAAGGGGAGCATGGAGAAGCACATTGGAGTCGGCGGCCGTCAGCGGCACTAGTGGTGAGTATGTGTCTTTGTTTAGTAGCACACATTATGGTTGAAAGATAACGTGTATGAAACCCTCACATTGCTGTACTTAGCCATGTGGTTTCTGTGTAATTAAATAATAAAAACATTTAATAAGTCTCTGAATGACTCATTATTGTGCATTTAAAGATGTATATTATTACATTACAGCATTATTTGTGTTTTGTCCTGGGATGACAATACAAGACTTCCATGAATGTGCATTTGAGAGAGAGTTAGCTTTGTATTCCAGCCGGCCTGTTATGAGCAAATTTCTATAGGCTACTATAGATCCATTTCAAAACATGTTCCAAGTAGGCTATAGGACAAAGCATCATACATCCTGGAATGAGTGAAGCTTGCCTGCTGACATGTTAAAATGACTGTCACAACTGCCATGAGCAAAGAGCAAAACCATTTGTTTATAGTGTAGGCTACAGTAGCCTATTCAATATTGAATGAAGTAGGTTACTGTACACTCTTTGTCACTGTACAGAGTAGACAATATGATTTGCCTGTACAGCACCTTAAAAAACTCACTGTAGCCTATATTCATAAGCACACCCAGCCTCGCTTTCAATATATGAAAACAACATAAAATATCTTTCAACAAGAAAAAATAATTAGTTTACTGTAAATGGATAAAGGTCAACAGATGCTCAATGTTCAGCTGTCATGTAATAACTGCGCCACCTAGTGGCTAAACATCAACTGCACTGAAGTCATCATAATTTCATAAGTTCTCATTTTCAAATGATTATGAATACTATTATTGTTATTTGAAGCCGTGTCAGTCTTGACTGTGGGTGATGGGGTCCTCTGTGTCTGCTAGTGTCTATAATACAGTAATATTTTTGTCGACATTATCAAACGGAAGAACTTTTATTTTGAAGAGCACAGGGCAAGGAAGCACACTAGCCAATCAGAGGACCCGCCCACCGACGGAAACAGATATTGAGTGGTAAATTCGTTTTGTTAAGTAAGAACCAAAAAACGAATAAACTTTTTTTGACAAAACGAAAAAACGGCTTGTTTTTTGGTTTCTGCTTGTGTCAATTATTCCCAGAAAACAGACTGATAAAACGTACCTTGCTCATAAACCTCCTTATCAGAAAATGCTGACCAATCGGCGTATTTCCAAACCCACATGGCAGGCTGACATTGCAGCCTAATAAACTATCCTAAACTAACCAAACCTAAAAAAAAGCTTTACCATTGTCCAGTAAATCCTGCAGGAAGCATAACACACTTGGAACAGAACTTTGACGTCGTCCTCAGGCTTCAAATAGTCTCAATCACCCTCAACGGTTGACTTGACACTTTCAAATTTACCCTTTATGTGCCATATAGCCTAAAGAGTGCTGGCGAGATTTTCATTCAGGGAAATGTTGATGAGAACAAGGAATTAGACCTAGAGTCTTTAAACATGAATGTTTTAATGCAGAATCGAGGACCAAGCGGTTCATAAGACAGTGTTATGGTAAAGTGGATCTTCACCAGAACTCTTCAGTACACCATGCTGCAGCACTCAATGTGAAATGTGTCACTGAAGGTCCATATACAGTAAAATGTAAAACGATTATCTATTGGAACCAAAACATTGTAATCCACTAAGAAATGTGACTGAGGAGTGTTTGACTAAAAATGAACCAGGACTCTAAAATGAAAACAAGGAAATAAAAAATAACCGTTAAACATTTACCAACAGTTGATGAACTCTAGTTCTTGTTTTCCATTTAATTATAGTTTTATGGGATCATAACAACACTTATCTAACTATCTATAAGCTATAGCTATACAAAATACAGAAAAACAGACAAACAAACGTAAGAAAGTTCATGGATTACCCTTACTGATATAGACAAATCAACATCTGATATCTATTACACAGTAATGCCAGGAACATTTCAATCCAATGTGTCCTTCACCCTTTCCAAGTCCCTCAGATACATGGGCAAGTGACTCCTCAGAAGGCGCCATAGATCCATAAAGATGTTGGTTCTTTTTATTTTGCCACTGAGCTTTCTACTGGAAAAACCCTAAATAACTCTGGATACCACTGTGTCACAGTAATAGGTCTTTATTGACTTAAAAAAAGAATTTCTGCCTTCTTCTATTGGTAACATTTGCAGTGGTTACAGTAAACAATAATTTATAATAATAAAAGTAATACATTCACTTTCATTACATTTATTCCTATCCATGAAATAAATAAATAGTGCATTGAATAAGATTGCTTTTGACACCTTTAATTACTGTGCTGAGCCTTAATAGGTTATTAATATTTGGGGTTATAGCTATCCCTAAATATAAAAATCCAGAGTTACCATGAACCAAGAAACGGGAAGTGTGGAAAGGTCAGTATGTTATGGCCATATACTCATTAACACACCCACTTATTTATCAAAACAAATTTCATGTTGTGACAAAGCTAAAGGCCTGTATGACTGACTTTAAGGCTGGTATGGATTGATGAGGTTAGTAATAAACAATAAGACGTCATCTGCATGCATTTGAGTTATATATGTAAGAGATCTAATAATATTTCTGCTGTGGCTTCTTACTTGTGTTCTGATTTGGCAGTATACAAATAAAACTGAATTTAATTAAATATAGTTGTTGCTGTCAGATGTCCTTTCATTGTGAATCACCACCACCCTCCTCCACCCCATTCACCTCCAGTTTCATTACTTCTAGTGCCCAAAACCTGCACCTCTTTTCATCATCCAGATCTCAGCATTTTCTTAATTCAGGACACGACGGGTGTCTAGACTACATCAGGGGGGAATTCCACTCCACTCGCTGCTTCTCTATCCCCATAAAACATGAGTCTCTGCTGATTGAACTATTATTATCTATTGCAACAGAAACATCATAGTCCATTGAGCAACATGCATCAGGATTAGTTTGGATAACAATTACCCAGTACTCAAAAACGATAATAAGGATATAAAAGGCAAGCAATAACTGTTAACTATTCATTAACATTTGTTGAACTCTGGCACATTGTGAGACCAGTAGTGTTTGTCTTTCTATACAATTATATTTTTATTGTATCATATCAATGCTTATCAACATCACAGTATCAAACAAAAGAGGACTGAGCTTTAACAAAGAAAACTATAAAAAACTTTAGAACTTTCGAATTAATAGTTTATTGTATTTTATGAGAATGAATCGATCAATTATTGGCTATAATTTCCCTTTTTTAACGGTTGTGGCCCGAAGAACCTTAATATTAGTTAAGTTATTATTTATCATCTTTGATGAATGATCATTTTGATTACACTAACACAGTGTGGTGTACCTTCAAACTATTGTTACCCCAACAAAAGATACCATAGTACCAACAGAGTGTAAATGAGTGTGCTCAAAGATGAGACAAAAAATCTTTTGGTGGAAAAGTATTTTGAACTTGTTTAAAAGACATAACAACATTACTGTCATCAAAGAATACATTTATTCATGAGTTATATCTGAGATAGAATTTCTTCTATTCATTAATCTCAACAGTAAAATGACCTTTTCTGTTAAATGTATTACATTTTTTATTGCTCACTGAGGAAAAAAGAAAGATTTGAGACATTTGGTTGACATTTGAAAATGAAAGCGAATGAAATTATTTCTGTATATATACACATTTTTATCTTTTTAATGCAGTCAGTGAGTTGAATCATAAAAAACATCTAAGTTGCTAAGGACAAACTGAGCGCAATTCACAAACAAAAGTTAATTGATAAGAACACGGATAGTCATTCCATTTAAAATGTGTGCCATGGTTTGTGTGTCTACAGTGTTCACGTCCTAGAGCATTGTTGGGCTCTCCATTCGTCCAAAGGACAAAGTCAACTGCAGACCCATCAGACCACATCCATCCTCCTTCTTTCTGAATGTCGTTGATTCCAATCCAGGTAAATCCTTGTGCAGGGTCAAAGTTCTTGATCAGGGAATTGACAAAGTTATGTTCTTCCACACTGTGGATAGCCACCAGGTTGGCTCCCTCTGACACACAGTGGAGTTCTGCATCAGCCCAGGTCATACGTGTTGCGATGTATTTGTAGCAGCGGCCATTGAAGCTGTACCAGAACATGGGACAGTTGCCGCGCTGTAGCTTCACTTGATGGACATCGGATGGAGACACAGAACCCAGAGTGAGAACAAACAAGAAGAAGAACAACAACATGTTGGCGTCAGAGTCTCAGTCTGAGTCTTCAGAGTATCTGATCTGCAATGCTGGACGTTATCAAGAAATTGCATAAAGAATTCAAAAGCTACTTTCTTTTATATGCTTCAGAGAGCGTGTTTGCACTTTGGTCTGATATCATTCGCTACATGCATGGGTGTGTCCAGGGAGTGGCTTGGGATGGCACAGGTTAGAATTTAGTCTCAAACCTGAGAGGCAGCAGAGCACGGAATAACACTAAGCCTCCCAAAAACATTAAAACGTTAAAAACATTTTTGCTGTAGGAAGCTAAAAAGTTTCCCCAGTTTTGATTTTCCTCAAAAGGCCACGAAACATAATAATAATTTTTACATGCCAAGATCTTTTCTTCTCAAGAATGCACTTCCACATTGTTGAACCTCTGAACATGGGACATGAATTTCTGTCACCTCAAACATACATAAATAAACAATATATTAGGCTACATTTAGGGACATCCCGATCAAGTTCTTTTAGCCCCTGATTTGATCCAAGTTTTTTAATATTTAGTATCTACCGATACAGAATCCCAGTCCAAGACTTGTTTTTGAGTTCTTTAGATAATACAGGCACACAGTGCACACTTCAGCTACATTAAAATTAATAAAAACAAGAGCAATAAGTCAATAAGGAAAAAAGAAAAATCTGACATTGTTCAAAAGCTTTTGGAAACATTTTCTTTGACCCAAAACTGACATGATCTGTGTAAGTATCAAACATAAATATGAAGGTTACTGAAATTATGAGACTTTTATATCTCGAGGTGCTGTGGGTTGTCTTGCATGGAGGCTGCCATTTGGAACCACTCTGTTTCTACAGCAGCCTAGGACAGGCTGTTCCTTTATGTTTTTTTTTTTTTTTTTTCTTAACAGATAATGTAAAAAAATAACAAACCCTCTCTGTAATCTGTTTAGCCTTGTCACAGTCTGGAGGGAGTTTCTCTCTCCAGTGTTTGTGGCATCAGTTAAGCTTTTGCCTGAGTTATCTGAATAAACTGTTTGTATTGTGCTAAATGTTTATTTCTCCTCAGCAAAAGGCAGTGGGTGAAAGGAATACAGTTATAAACTTTAATGGTTGAAAAACTTTACCATTGTCCAGTAAATCCTGCAGGAAGCATAACACACCTGGAACAGAACTTTGAGGGCATCCTCAGGCTTTGAATAGTCTCAATCACCCTCAACGGGAGACTTGACTCTTTTAAATTTACCAGTTAAGGTGCCATATATCCTGAAGAACACTGGCCAGATTTTCATATGAGGAAATGTTGATGAGAACAAGGGATTAGACCTAAAGTCTTTAAACATGAGTGTTTTAATGCAGAGTCGAGGACCAAGCGGTTCATAAGACAGTATTATGGAAAAGTGGGTCTTCACCAGAGCTCTTCAGTACACCATGCTGCAGCACTTAATGTGAAATTTGTCACTGAAGGTCCATATACAGTAAAATGTAAAACGATTATCTATTGGAACCAAACCATTGTAATCCACTAAGAAATGTGATTGAGGAGTGTTGAACCAGGACTCTAAAGTGAAAACAAGGAAATAAAAGACAAAAAATAACCATTAACCACTTACCAATAGTTGTTGAACTCCAGTTAATGTTTTTCTTATTAATTATATTTTTATGGGATCATAACAACACTTATCTACAAGCTATAGCGATAAAAAAGAAAGAAAACCGAAAGAAGGTTTATGGATTGCCCTTACTGATATAGGCAAATGAACATCTGATATCTATTCCACAGTAATGCCAGGAACATTTCAATCCAATGTGTCCTTCACCTTTTCCAAGTCTCAAGATAAATTGGCAAGTGACTCTTCAGAAAGTCCCATAGATCCATAAAGATGTTCTTGGTTCTTTTAATTAAGTAGACAAGGTAAAACATTCACTTTTATTACATTTATTTCTATTCATGAAATAAATAAATAAATAATGCATTGGATAAGATTGCTTTTGACGTCTTTAATTACTGTGCTGAGCCTTAATAGGTTATTTATATTTTATCAATATGTTTAGGACGGGATGCACAAACAGAGGATAAGTAACTGAACATGGGACGTCATTCCATTTCAGATCCTTTTCAAAGTTGCTATGAACATAGTTTTCACTTCCTCTATTGTTGTTTGGCTCTTTAGGACTTCAAAAAAATAAAAAATTAACTGCAACTCCATCAGACCACATCCATCTGCCTTCTTTATGAATGTCACTGAGTCTGATCCAACTGCATCCTTTAGCGTGGTCAAAGTTCTTTGACAAAATTCTCTTCCTCCAGACTGTGAATAGACACCAGGTTGGCTTTCTCTGACACACAGCAGAGTTCTGCATCAGCCCAGGTCAAACGTGTGGCAACGTACTTGTACACCTGCCACGCTGTAGCTTCACTGGATGGAAAATTAAGATAAGATCTTTATTGATCCCCCCTTAGGAGAAATTCAAAATTGACACAGCAGCATAGGGGAATGTAGTGCAAAAGAAATAGTACAGAAGTAGAGGTACAAAATTGATGGAAACACAGCACCCAGAGTGGCAACAAACAAGAGGAACAAGATTATGTTGGTGTAAGAGTTTGAGTTTTTGGAGTAGCAGGTCTGCACTGTTGGATTATGTAAAAAATCTTAAAGAAACAGCTAAAAGACCACTTCTCTTTTTTAATATGTTTTAGGAAGGATGTTTGCACTGTTGATGTGATATCATTGGTCAAATGCACTTGGCAATCACTTTCACCTTCACACAGCTACACAGTGTCTGAACATAAGCGAAAAAAGACCACAAGCTCACCTGGAGCAGTAGTAGTAAATAGATTTGAGATTTTCATCTTAAAAAGTCCAATGAACATTAAGAAGTGTTTGTATAAAAAATAGCCAGGATGCTAAAGGAAAACAGGGAAATAAAAGACACGCAATACATGTTCATTATTCATCAACAGGTGTTGAACTCTGTTTATAAATGATCCATAAATGACTATATGATACAAGTATCAGTTCCACAGAAATGCCAGGATCCTTTTAGTCCAATATCCCATTTCATTTAGCATTATAGTATAACTGTATAAGCCACAGTTTAGTGTTGTAGGGAAAATCCACTCTCAGAATTTATAAATGTTATTATAATCTCAGATACTTTATCTAATATTTGTGAACAGTTCAGTACAGTTCAGTCATATATGTAATAGATCTTATTTAGATTTCCTGCTGTGTCTCCAAATGGCTTCAGCTAGACATTTGATGCCTAGCACAAAAAATAAGACAAGTGGACCTCCCACAATAACTAATGAATAATGATTGTCTGCCATTAACCAGTGCACTGGCCCTGAGTTAATAGTATATCAGCTTAATCAAGTTAATAAATTCCTCCCCAAGACCAAACTTTTTCATATTATTGAATAGGTACTGCTACTCTATTTGATCAAAGTTCTTCTAAGCTTCAAGTGAGATAAAGACTTTGAGCTTGATGAATGTTTGTATGTTAAATGCAACCCATGGGGACACCATCACACACCATGAAACCAGTAATCATAATATCAGAAAGTGGGCCTATCTCTGCATGGAGTCAGATTTACTGTGGTATAAAAAAAGAGACTGATTTTTAAACAAACCAAGACCTCTTCAGTACATTTACGCTACAGGACCCAATGGGACATGTGTCACTGACAAATGTTGAGGTCCATATAATTTACAATACGATGGAAAACTACTATTTTTGGGGGTTTTTATTGCCTTTAATCAATAGTGAAAGCTGAAGATAGACAGAAAAAGGAGGTAGAGAGAGATGATGACACGCAGCAAAGGGCCACAGGTCAGACTCGCACCCTGGGTTGCTGCAGCAAGGAGTCAGTACATGGTGCCAGCTCTACCAGGTGAGCTAACCAGGTGTCAGAAAGCTATGATTATCTACTGGAACAGGCTGGAGGAAATCAGTTGGACCCTCTCTCTCCCTTGGCTTCCACTCTGTTAGGTTTGGTTGAATTTGTTTGTCTTTAGCTTCATTTTTTTTTTTGTTTTGTTAAATAAACATATTTTTGGTTACAACTCATGTGTGTTGCCCACTTCTTTGTGACAGAGGTAAAACTATTATTATCTACTGGAACAAAAACATCATGAACCACTGATAAACGTGCATGAGGAGTATTTAGATTAAAATGAACCACGACTCTAAAATGAAAGCAGGGAAATAAAAGACAAGCAATAACCTTTTATTAATTCATTAACAGTTGTTTTTCTGTACAATTATATTTTTATGGCATCGTAATAATGCTTATCATCATCACAGCATCAAACAAAATAGGCACAAACGAAAGGAAGAAAGTTCATACACAATCCCTCAGTGACTTTATGGGACAGGGAAATCTACTTCCATATAAATGCCAGGAACTTTTCAATCCAATGTGTCCTTCACCCTTTAGACAAAGTCACTAAGTACACCAGGTAGGTGATTTATCAGAGGCCACCATAGATCCATAAAGATGTTGTCAGTTATTTTTATTTTGGCACTGAGGTTTTCATTGGAAAAGCCCTAAATAACTCTTATTCAGGGTGTTACAGTGGCAGGTTTTTCATGGACTCAGTTAAGTAGTACACATATTCTTGTCTTCTTGTAAAAAAGAAAAATTCCCCCTGAATTTTTCATGCAGATAGTATTTATGTGCCTTCTTTACATGGCCTGGATCTTAACAACAGACTCAAAGATATAACATAAAATCTTTTGGTGGAGATCCAAAAGAGTTTTGAACCTCTTTAAAAAACACAACAACATTATTGTCATCAAAGTATACCTTTATTTATGAGTTACATCTGAGATAGCATTTTTTCCATTCATTATTCACTAGAGTTAACATACGTTTTCTGCTAAATCTATAAAATTTTCTATGGGTCAGTAAGAAAAAAAGAAAAATTTGAGACATTTGTTCAACATGCAAAAATGAAAGTTAGTGAAATGATTTCTGTATACATAAACATGAACATTTTTAGATTTATCTTGCAGTCTTGGAAAGTCCTTGAGTTTAATCAGAAAAAAACATCTTAGTTGCTAAGGACAAACTAAGCGAGTTTCACAAACAAAAGTAAACAGCTTAGAACACGGATAATCATTCCATTTCAATTTTGGGCCATAGTTTGTGTGTCCACAGTTTTCATGTCCTCCAGCGTTGTCTGGCTGTCCTGCATCCCAAAGGACGAAGTCAACTGCAGACCCATCAGACCACGTCCATCCTCCTTCTTTCGCTGTGTCGCTGATTCCAATCCACGTATATCCTCGGGCAGGGTCAAAGTTATTGATCAGGGAATTGACAAAGTTATGTTCTTCCACACTGTGGATAGCCACCAGGTTGGCTCCCTGTGACACACAGTGGAGTTCTGCATCAGCCCAGGTCAAACGTGAGGCGACGTACTTGTAGCAGCGGCCATTGAAGCTCCACCAGAACATGGGACAGTTGCCGCGCTGCAGCTTCACTGGATGGACATCTGATGGAGACACAGCACCCAGAGTGACAACAAACAAGCAGAGGAACAACAACATGTTGGCGTCAGAGTCTCAGTCTAAGTCTTCCGAGTATCTGATCTGCAATGCTGGACGTTATCAAGAAATTGCATAAAGAATTCAAAAGCTACTTTCTTTTATATGCTTCAGAGAGCGTGTTTGCACTGTTGGTGTGATATCATTCATTACATGCAGGGGTGTGTCCAGGGAGTGGCCTGGGAATCCACAGGTTACTCCTGAAATCTGATTGGCTATCTGCCCTATCATAGGTGGAACTTAAATTTGGAATAACTTTTGTGTAATTTAGTTTTAAACCTGAGAGGCAGCAGAGCATGGAATAACACTAAACCTCCAAAAAATGTTGAAACGTTAAAAACATTTTTGCTGTAGGAAGCTAAACAGTTTTAGTAAAATGTAAAACGATTATCTATTGGAACCAAAACATTGTAATCCACTAAGAAATGTGATTGAGGAGTGTTTCACTAAAAATGAACCAGGACTCTAAGGTTAAAACATGGAAATAAAAGACAAAAAATAACCGTTAACCACTTACCAACAGTTGTTGAACTCCAGTTAATGTTTTTCTTATTAATTATATTTTTATGGGATAATAACAACACTTATCTACAAGCTATAGCGATAAAAAGAAAGAAAACCGAAAGAAAGTTTATGGATTACCCTTACTGATATAGACAAATGAACATCTGATATCTATTCCACAGTAATGCCAGGAACATTTCAATCCAATGTGTCCTTCACCTTTTCCAAGTCCCTCAGATAAATTGGCAAGTGACTCTTCAGAAAGTGCCATAGATCCATAAAGATGTTCTTGGTTCTTTTAATTAAGTAGACAGGGTAAAACATTCACTTTTATTACATTTATTTCTATTCATGAAATAAATAAATAAATAAAGAATGCATTGGATAAGATTGCTTTTGACGCCTTTAATTACTGTGCTGAGCCTTAATAGGTTATTTATATTTTATCAATATGTTTAGGACGGGATGCACAAACAGAGGATAAGTAACTGAACATGGGACGTCATTCCATTTCAGATCCTTTTCAAAGTTGCTATGAACATAGTTTTCACTTCCTCTATTGTTGTTTGGCTCTTTAGGACTTCAAAAAAATACAAAATTAACTGCAACTCCATCAGACCACATCCATCTGCCTTCTTTATGAATGTCACTGAGTCTGATCCAACTGCGTCCCTTTAGCGTGGTCAAAGTTCTTTGACAAAATTCTCTTCCTCCAGACTGTGAATAGACACCAGGTTGGCTTTCTCTGACACACAGCAGAGTTCTGCATCAGCCCAGGTCAAACGTGTGGCAACGTACTTGTACACCTGCCACGCTGTAGCTTCACTGGATGGAAAATTAAGATAAGATCTTTATTGATCCCCCCTTAGGAGAAATTCAAAAATGACACAGCAGCATAGGGGAATGTAGTGCAAAAGAAATAGTACAGAAGTAGAGGTACAAAATTGATGGAAACACAGCACCCAGAGTGGGGACAAACAAGAGGAACAAGATTATGTTGGTGTTAGAGTTTGAGTTTTTGGAGTAGCAGGTCTGCACTGTTGGATTATGTCAAAAATCTTAAAGAAACAGCTAAAAGACCACTTCTCTTTTTTAATATGTTTTAGGAAGGATGTTTGCACTGTTGATGTGATATCATTGGTCAAATGCACTTGGCAATCACTTTCACCTTCACACAGCTACACAGTGTCTGAACATAAGCGAAAAAAGACCACAAGCTCACCTGGAGCAGTAGTAGTAAATAGATTTGAGATTTTCATCTTAAAAAGTCCAATGAACATTAAGAAGTGTTTGTATAAAAAATAGCCAGGATCCTAAAGGAAAACAGGGAAATAAAAGACACGCAATACATGTTCATTATTCATCAACAGGTGTTGAACTCTGTTTATAAATGATCCATAAATGACTATATGATACAAGTATCAGTTCCACAGAAATGCCAGGATCCTTTTAGTCCAATATCCCATTTCATTTAGCATTATAGTACAACTGTATAAGCCACAGTTTAGTGTTGTAGGGAAAATCCACTCTCAGAATTTATAAATGTTATTATAATCTCAGATACTTTATCTAATATTTGTGAACAGTTCAGTACAGTTCAGTCGTATATGTAATAGATCTTATTTAGATTTCCTGCTGTGTCTCCGAATGGCTTCAGCTAGACATTTGATGCCTAGCACAAAAATAAGACAAGTGGACCTCCCACAATAACTAATGAATAATGATTGTCTGCCATTAACCAGTGCACTGGCCCTGAGTTAATAGTATATCAGCTTAATCAAGTTAATAAATTCCTCCCCAAGACCAAACTTTTTCATATTATTGAATAGGTACTGCTACTCTATTTGATCAAAGTTCTTCTAAGCTTCAAGTGAGATAAAGACTTTGAGCTTGATGAATGTTTGTATGTTAAATGCAACCCATGGGGACACCATCACACACCATGAAACCAGTAATCATAATATCAGAAAGTGGGCCTATCTCTGCATGGAGTCAGATTTACTGTGGTATAAAAAAAGAGACTGATTTTTAAACAAACCAAGACCTCTTCAGTACATTTACGCTACAGGACCCAATGGGACATGTGTCACTGACAAATGTTGAGGTCCATATAATTTACAATATGAGGGAAAACTACTATTTTTGGGGGTTTTTATTGCCTTTAATCAATAGTGAAAGCTGAAGATAGACAGAAAAAGGAGGTAGAGAGAGATGATGACACGCAGCAAAGGGCCACAGGTCAGACTCGCACCCTGGGTTGCTGCAGCAAGGAGTCAGTACATGGTGCCAGCTCTACCAGGTGAGCTAACCAGGTGTCAGAAAGCTATTATTATCTACTGGAACAGGCTGGAGGAAATCAGTTGGTCCCTCTCTCTCCCTTGGCTTCCACTCTGTTAGGTTTGGTTGAATTTGTTTGTCTTTAGCTTAATTTTTCTTTTAGTTTTGTTAAATAAACATATTTTTGGTTACAACTCATGTGTGTTCTCCACTTCTTTGTGACAGAGATAAAACTATTATTATCTACTGGAACAAAAACATCATGAACCACTGATAAACGTGCATGAGGAGTATTTAGATTAAAATGAACCACGACTTTAAAATGAAAGCAGGGAAATAAAAGACAAGCAATAACCTTTTATTAATTCATTAACAGTTGTTTTTCTGTACAATTATATTTTTATGGCATCGTAATAATGCTTATCATCATCACAGCATCAAACAAAATAGGCACAAACGAAAGGAAGAAAGTTCATACACAATCCCTCAGTGACTTTATGGGACAGGGAAATCTACTTCCATATAAATGCCAGGAACTTTTCAATCCAATGTGTCCTTCACCCTTTAGAAAAAGTCACTAAGTTCACCAGGTAGGTGATTTATCAGAGGCCACCATAGATCCATAAAGATGTTGTCAGTTATTTTTATTTTGGCACTGAGGTTTTCATTGGAAAAGCCCTAAATAACTCTTATTCGGGGTGTTACAGTGGCAGGTTTTTCATGGACTCAGTTAAATAGAACACATATTCTTGTCTTCTTGTAAAAAAGAAACAATTCCCCCTGAATTTTTCATGCAGATTGTATTTATGTGCCTTCTTTACATGGCCTGGATCTTAACAACAGACTCAAAGATATGACATAAAATCTTTTGGTGGAGATCCAAAAGAGTTTTGAACCTCTTTAAAAAAACACAACAACATTATTGTCATCAAAGTATACCTTTATTTATGAGTTACATCTGAGATAGCATTTTTTCCATTCATTATTCACTAGAGTTAACATACGTTTTCTGCTAAATCTATAAAATTTTCTATGGGTCAGTAAGAAAAAAAGAAAAATTTGAGACATTTGTTCAACATGCAAAAATGAAAGTTAGTGAAATGATTTCTGTATACATACACATGCACATTTTTAGATTTATCTTGCAGTCTTGGAAAGTCCTTGAGTTTAATCAGAAAAAAACATCTTAGTTGCTAAGGACAAACTAAGCGAGTTTCACAAACAAAAGTAAACAGCTTAGAACACGGATAATCATTCCATTTAAATCTTGGGCCATAGTTTGTGTGTCCACAGTTTTCATGTCCTCCAGCGTTGTCTGGCTGTCCTGCATCCCAAAGGACGAAGTCAACTGCAGACCCATCAGACCACGTCCATCCTCCTTCTTTCGCTGTGTCGCTGATTCCAATCCAGGTATATCCTCGGGCAGGGTCAAAGTTATTGATCAGGGAATTGACAAAGTTATGTTCTTCCACACTGTGGATAGCCACCAGGTTGGCTCCCTCTGACACACAGTGGAGTTCTGCATCAGCCCAGGTCAAACGTGAGGCGACGTACTTGTAGCAGCGGCCATTGAAGCTCCACCAGAACATGGGACAGTTGCCGCGCTGCAGCTTCACTGGATGGACATCTGATGGAGACACAGCACCCAGAGTGAGAACAAACAAGCAGAGGAACAACAACATGTTGGCGTCAGAGTCTCAGTCTAAGTCTTCAGAGTATCTGATCTGCAATGCTGGACGTTATCAAGAAATTGCATAAAGAATTCAAAAGCTACTTTCTTTTATATGCTTCAGAGAGCGTGTTTGCACTGTTGGTGTGATATCATTCATTACAAGCAGGGGTGTGTCCAGGGAGTGGCCTGGGAATCCACAGGTTACTCCTGAAATCTGATTGGCTATCTGCCCTATCAGAGGTGGAACTTAAATTTGGAATAACTTTTGTGTAATTTAGTTTTAAACCTGAGTGGTAGCAGAGCATGGAATAACACTAAACCTCCCAAAAATGTTAAAACGTTAAAAACATTTTTGCTGTAGGAAGCTAAAAAGTTTTAGCTTTAGAAATTTGTCACTGAAGGTCCATATACAGTAAAATGTAAAACGATTATCTATTGGAACCAAAACATTGTATTCCACTAAGAAATGTGATTGAGGAGTGTTTCACTAAAAATGAACCAGGACTCTAAGGTTAAAACATGGAAATAAAAGACAAAAAATAACCGTTAACCACTTACCAACAGTTGTTGAACTCCAGTTAATGTTTTTCTTATTAATTATATTTCTATGGGATAATAACAACACTTATCTACAAGCTATAGCGATAAAAAAGAAAGAAAACCGAAAGAAAGTTTATGGATTACCCTTACTGATATAGACAAATGAACATCTGATATCTATTCCACAGTAATGCCAGGAACATTTCAATCCAATGTGTCCTTCACCTTTTCCAAGTCCCTCAGATAAATTGGCAAGTGACTCTTCAGAAAGTGCCATAGATCCATAAAGATGTTCTTGGTTCTTTTAATTAAGTAGACAGGGTAAAACATTCACTTTTATAACATTTATTTCTATTCATGAAATATATAAATATATAATGCATTGGATAAGATTGCTTTTGACACCTTTAATTACTGTGCTGAGCCTTAATAGGTTATTTATATTTAGGTGCCATATATCCTGAAGAACACTGGCCAGATTTTCATATGAGGAAATGTTGACGAGAACAAGGGATTAGGCCTAAAGTCTTTAAACATGAGTGTTTTAATGCAGGGTCGAGGACCAAGCGGTTCATAAGACCGTATTATGGAAAAGTGGGTCTTCACCAGAGCTCTTCAGTACACCTATGCTGCAGCACTCAATGTGAAATTTGTCACTGAAGGTCCATATACAGTAAAATGTAAAACGATTATCTATTGGAACCAAAACATTATAATCCACTAAGAAATGTGATTGAGGAGTGCTTGACGAAAAATGAACCAGGACTCTAAAGTGAAAACAAGGAAATAAAAGACAAAAAATAACCGTTAACCACTTACCAACAGTTGTTGAACTCCAGTTAATGTTTTTCTAATTAATAATATTTTCATGGGATCATAACAACACTTATCTACAAGCTATAGCAATAAAAAAGAAAGAAAACCAAAAGAAAGTTTATGGATTACCCTTACTGATATAGACAAATGAACATCTGATATCTATTCCACAGTAATGCCAGGAACATTTCAATCCAATGTGTCCTTCACCTTTTCCAAGTCCCAAGATAAATTGGCAAGTGACTCCTCAGAAGGCGGTATAGATCCATAAAGATGTTCTTGGTTCTTTTTATTAAGTGGACAGTTCTTAAAAGTAATTCACTTTTATTACATTTATTTCTATACATGAAATAAATAAATAAATAATGCATTGGATAAGATTGCTTTTGACGCCTTTAATTACTGTGCTGAGCCTTAATAGGTTATTTATATTTTATCAATATGTTTAGGACGGGATGCACAAACAGAGGATAAGTAACTGAACATGGGACGTCATTCCATTTCAGATCCTTTTCAAAGTTGCTATGAACATAGTTTTCACTTCCTCTATTGTTGTTTGGCTCTTTAGGACTTCAAAAAAATAAAAAATTAACTGCAACTCCATCAGACCACATCCATCTGCCTTCTTTATGAATGTCACTGAGTCTGATCCAACTGCGTCCTTTAGCGTGGTCAAAGTTCTTTGACAAAATTCTCTTCCTCCAGACTGTGAATAGACACCAGGTTGGCTTTCTCTGAGACACAGTAGAGTTCTGCATCAGCCCAGGTCAAACGTGTGGCAACGTACTTGTACACCTGCCACGCTGTAGCTTCACTGGATGGAAAATTAAGATAAGATCTTTATTGATCCCCCCTTAGGAGAAATTCAAAATTGACACAGCAGCATAGGGGAATGTAGTGCAAAAGAAATAGTACAGAAGTAGAGGTACAAAATTGATGGAAACACAGCACCCAGAGTGGGGACAAACAAGAGGAACAAGATTATGTTGGTGTTAGAGTTTGAGTTTTTGGAGTAGCAGGTCTGCACTGTTGGATTATGTCAAAAATCTTAAAGAAACAGCTAAAAGACCACTTTTCTTTTGTAATATGTTTTAGGGAGGGTGTTTGCACTGTTGATGTGATATCGTTGGTCAAATGCACTTGGCAATCACTTTCACCTTCACACAGCTACACAGTGTCTGAACATAAGCGAAAAAAGACCACAAGCTCACCTGGAGCAGTAGTAGTAGTAGTAGTAAATAGATTTGAGATTTTCATCTTAAAAAGTCCAATGAACATTAAGAAGTGTTTGTATAAAAAATAGCCAGGATCCTAAAGGAAAACAGGGAAATAAAAGACACGCAATACATGTTCATTATTCATCAACAGGTGTTGAACTCTGTTTATAAATGATCCATAAATGACTATATGATACAAGTATCAGTTCCACAGAAATTCCAGGAACCTTTTAGTCCAATATCCCATTTCATTTAGCATTATAGTACAACTGTATAAGCCACAGTTTAGTGTTGTAGGGAAAATCCACTCTCAGAATTTATAAATGTTATTATAATCTCAGATACTTTATCTAATATTTGTGAACAGTTCAGTACAGTTCAGTCGTATATGTAATAGATCTTATTTAGATTTCCTGCTGTGTCTCCAAATGGCTTCAGCTAGACATTTGATGCCTAGCACAAAAATAAGACAAGTGGACCTCCCACAATAACTAATGAATAATGATTGTCTGCCATTAACCAGTGCACTGGCCCTGAGTTAATAGTATATCAGCTTAATCAAGTAAATAAATTCCTCCCCAGGACCAAACTTTTTCATATTATTAAATAAGTACTGCTACTCTATTTGATCAAAGGTCTTCTAAGCTTCAAGTGAGATAAAGACTTTGAGCTTGATGAATGTTTGTATGTTAAATGCAACCCATGGGGACACCATCACACACCATGAAACCAGTAATCATAATATCAGAAAGTAGGCCTATCTCTGCAAGGAGCCAGATTTACTGTGGTATAAAAAAGAGACTGATTTTTTAAACAAACCAAGACCTCTTCAGTACATTTACGCTAGAGGACCCAATGGGACATGTGTCACTGACAAATGTTGAGGTCCATATCATTTACACTATGAGGTGTGACGACCATCTGAGCAGGTCTCTCCCTCAAAGAGCTTTTGTTTTGTTTGGTTGAATTTGTTTGTCTTTAGCTTCATTTTTCTTTTAGTTTTGTTAAATAAACATATTTTTGGTTACAACTCATGTGTGTTCTCCCCTTCTTTGTGACAGAGGTAAAACTATTATTATCTACTTGAACAAAAACATCATAAACCACTGATAAACGTGCACGCGGAGTATTTAGATCAAAATGAGCCACGACTCTTAAATAAAAGCAAGGAAATAAAAGACAAGCAATAACTGTTATTAATTCATTAACAGTTGTTTTTCTGTACATTTATATTTTTTATGGTATCGTAATAATGCTTATCATCATCACAGCATCAAACAAAATAGGCCCAAACGAAAGAAAGGAAGAAAGTTTATACACTATGCCTCAATGATTTTATGGGACAGGAAAATCTACTTCTGATATCTATTCCATATAAATGCCCAGAAATCTTTCAATCCAATGTGTCCGTCACTCTTTAGACAAAGTCAGTAAGTTAACCAGGTAAGTGATTTATCAGAGGTCGCCATAGATCCATAAAGATGTTGTCAGTTGTTATTTGGGCACTGAGGTTTTCATTAGAAAAGCCCTAAATAACTCTTATTGTTGTGTTACAGTATATAATTGACCATTTTGAGTGCCAAAATGTAATTGCTTGCACCAACACAGTGTGGTGCCCCTTTAAACCATTGTTAGCCCAACATATGTTGCCACTGAGTTAACCATAGTACCAACACAATGTAAATTAGTGGGATTAAAGATATGACATAAAATCTATTGGTGGAGATCCAAAAGGGTGGCTGTGGTTCAGAGGGAGAGTGAGTTGTCCACTAATTGTAAAGTTGTTGGTTCGATTCCTGGCTCCTCCGACTGCATGTCAAAGTATCCTTGAGCAAGATATTGAACCCCAAATTGTTGTGTGAATGTGCATGAATGAGTTAGTTTATGTCTGATGAAGTTTGCCATCATTGTGTGAATGTGTGTGAAAGGGTGACTATGGCACACAGTGTAAAAGTGCTTTGAATAATCTGAAGACTACAAAGGCGCAATACAAGTACAGGTCCATTTACCAAAAGTATTTCAAACTAGTTTAAAAGACACAACAAAGTTACTGTCATCAGAGAATACTTTTATTCATGAGTTACATCTGAATAGCATTTTTTCTATTCATTATTTTGAACAGTTAAATTACCTTTTCTGCTAAATCTATAACATTTTCTATGGGTCATTAAGGAAAAAAGAAATATTTTAGACAATTAAACGACACATGAAAATGAAACCTGATTAAATTACTTTTGTCTGAATAGACATGCAGATTTGTATCTTTAGCTTGCAGTTTATGAGTTGAATCAGAAAAACGTCTTGCTAAGGACAAACTAAGCGAGTTTCACAAACAGAAGTAAACAGCAAAGAACACGGATAATCGTTCCATTTAAAATTTGGGCCAGAGTTTGTGTGTCCACAGTGTTCATCTCCTTCATCGTTGTCTGGTTGTGCTGCATTCCAAAAGACAAAGTCAACTGCAGACCCATCAGACCACATCCATCCTCCTTCTTTCTGAATGTCGTTGATTCCAATCCAGCTAAATCCTTGTGCAGGGTCAAAGTTCTTGATCAGGGAATTGACAAATTTATGTTCTTCCACACTGTGGATAGCCGCCAAGTTGGCTCCCTGTGACACACAGTGGAGTTCTGCATCAATCCAGGTCATACGTGTTGCGATGTACTTGTAGCAGCGGCCGTTGAAGCTCCACCAGAACATGGGACAGTTGCCGCGCTGTAGCTTCAGTGGATGGACATCTGATGGAGACACAGCACCCAGAGTGAGAACAAACAAGCAGAGGAACAACAACATGTTGGCGTCAGAGTCTCAGTCTAAGTCTTTGGAGTATCTGATCTGCAATGCTGGATGTTACCAAGAAATTGCATAAAGAATTCAAAAGCTACTTTCTTTTATATGCTTCAGAGAGCGTGTTTGCACTGTTGGTGTGATATCATTCATTACATGCAAGGGTGTGTCCAGGGAGTGGCTTGGGAATCCACAGGTTACTCCTGAAATCTGATTGGCTATCTGCCCTATCAGAGGTGGGACCTAAATTGGAATAACTGTTGTGTAATTCTAGTCTCAAACCTGAGAGGCAGCAGAGCATGGAATAACGCTAAGCCTCCCAAAGACATTAAAACGTTAAAAA